GAAGGGCTGTCAAGTAGAGTTACGGGGAACAGGGTCAAAAGAAAAGGAACTGTTTTCTTTTAAGTGGTGATAGCCCTATGGAACTTGCCACCAAAAGTTACTGCAGATCAGCTGGTACTGTGGCTGAGAAACTGGTCAAATACGTGAGAGAAAGATCTATGGAAGGCTGCTACCTGAAGGAATCGTGTCGAGCTTGTGTGACTTATGAGCTGAAAATAGTCGGAGTGTGGGAAAGCACCCAGAGGAAGCATACTTGCCCTGTTCTTATTCTTCCTTGGACAGCTGCTTTTGATCACTGCTGTAGAAAGAAAACTGGACTGGGCGAACCTTTGGACTGAACTGGTGGAGCTGTTTAGTTGGGAGTGCAGGCAGCTACTCAACAGGCAGCTACGTGCATATGCTAACCTGAGGAGCTGAACGATACCCGAGCTGGCTTAAAATGAGCTACTTCAGATGCCAGTTAGCAGCCTGTCCGCTGGCTGCACAGAGAGCTCATCCTCTCAGTGGCATCAATTAGCCTGTGCTGAGTTTCTTGCTGTCATCACCAGGATGTTCCCGGTACTAAGCCAGCTTATAGAAAAGTATTGCCATACTACACTACTATTTGCTGTGTGAGCACACCCGCTGTCTAAGTGGGCCTGGTGGTGCACCAATTATTTTGGTGGCATCTACAAATATGAAGTTGCTAAATTCTCAAAAGCAGAAAAAAAATTTCCAGCTTCAACTCTGTTTGTTTCTGTTTTCTATTTATTCATTTCATAGGTCTAATAACTTTTCTGAGTGTCAGCTCTAGTACATTTAGCTTGGAGTCCGAAAATCATTAGATTTTTTGGTTCGTGTATCACTGTCAGCAATAGTAAAGATATGCAGTCAGAACTGATGCTGTATCAAGAATAGAATCCAGTGTATTCTCTTTTAACTGTGATGGCTTTGAAAATCTAGTAGCACTGAAAATTAGTAAATAACTATTTTTATCACTAAAGTCAGCAGTTCTGACTCAGTGTCCACTAAGGAAATGAACTTTGAGTAACAGGATTTTTAAAAAGTATTGTCACTCTTAATCTTAACTATACTTTAAAAAGGAGTGATGCCTATTATAGAAATGAAAATATTATATTGGTGTCATTACAAACTAATGAAGAATGTTACTAAGTACTTACGTAAATTAATATTATTGCACATTTTAATCATGTGATTCTCAGGGTCTCCAGTTGGGGGCACTGGGCAAACATAGAAACATGGCAATGGCCAACATGAATGAGGCTTTTCCCCACACCAGTATTCTGCTG